ATTTATTTATTTATTATGTACATAGAAGAGGTTGCCAGATCTCATTACAGATGGTTGTGAGCCACCATGCGGGTGCTGGGAATTGAACTCAGGACCTCTTGAAGAGCAGTCAGTGCTCTTAACCTCTGAGCCATCTCTCCAGCCCGAGATACTTTTTCTTATTCCGTCTCCACTCTCCACCCAAACCAAAGGAAAACTTATATTTTTGGTTTTAAGCCTAGTCTTTAATGGCTGAGCTATCCCTCCAGCCCCCAATGGAAAACTTAGTCCAAACCAGAAGACCACACTGCTAGGTACCTTTGTTCACAGAGCTCAAGTAGGTTGTATGAATGCTGGAAGAAGAAAAGCCAGATGCAAGTTGGCATTCCCTTGGAGAACTCCAAGGGTCTCTTCTCTTCTGTCAAATAATATCTCATTTAACTCCAAGACCAAATCATCTTTTGAAATTTTAGGACCCAAAGAACAAGGTGTTACCACCTCAGACATGAGGGGGAGAATCCTATAAGGGTCTTCACTCACCCCAGTGAGGGCTTGAGGGATAGGAACTCTTAAAGTATGAGTTGCTTTCATCCTAGAAAAATGTGGCTCTTATTCTAAACTGTAAGAGATAGCTTATTCTGAGCTAAATGTGAGTAAACATGGCCCAGTAAACATGGACTCAGGTTGCTCTAGATAACATCCTCCTCCTCTACTGAAGAAGGGACATGAACTTACAGAGTCACAGAACAAAGGACAATAACAAATCAATGCATTAAACCAAACATTGATGTATAGATGGGGACATCAGGTAGGTGGGCCCATGGGCTACAGCAAAATGGGAAAAACTCTGCTCTAGGTTTCAGATATTATCTGATGACTTTTAGTCTGGAGGATAGTGGAAGTCAGGAGTCTGTCAAGTTAATCCATTCCAAAGGTTGCATTTTTTTATTCCTTTTTTTCTTTAAATTTAAAATTATTTTTCATTTTACATACTAACCCCTATTTTCTCCCCCTCCCCTTCTCCTGCTTTCCCCCACATTCCCCCATCCCATCCCCATCCCCTCCTCATAGGGGGTAAGGCCTCTCTTGGGTAGTCAACACAGTCTGGCATACCAAAGTTGGGGTAGGACCAAGCCCCTCCGCCCAGCATCACTGCTGAGTAAGGCATCACACCATAGGAAATGGACTCTAAAAAACCAGTTCATGTACCTGGGAAAAGTCCCATTGCCAGGGGATCCACAAACACATCAAGCCACACAACTGTCACCCACATTCAGAGGGCCTAATTGGGTTCATGCAGGCTCCCCAGCTGTCAGTCCAGAGTCCATGAGCTCCCACTAGCTTGGGCCAGCTCTCTCTCTGGTTTTTCCAATCATGATCCTAACCACCCCACCCTTGCTCCTATAGTCCCTCCTCTATCTCTTCAACTGAACTCTAGGAGCTCGGCCAAGTGCTTGGCTATGGGTGTCTGCATCTGCTTCCATCAGTCACTGGATGTAGGTTCTAAGATGACAATTAGGGTAGACACCAATCTGAGTACAAGGGAGGCCCAGTTCGAGCACCCTCTCCACCACTGCTATGAGTCTTAGCTGGTGACATCCTTGTGAGTTCCTGGGGATTTCCCTAGCTCCAGATTTCTCCCTAACCCCTTAATGTTTCACTCTGTAAAGGTATCACTTTCATTGCTCTCCCTCTCCATCCCTCCCCCAACCTGGCTATCTCGAACCCTCATGTCCTCCCCCCCCAATTCCCTTCCCTCTACACCCCCTCCCAGTTTACCCTTTCACCTTCCTGGGGTGATCCATGTGTGTTCCTCTTATGATCCTCCTCTTTACCTAGCTTCTCTGGGGTTGTGGATTGTAGCCTGGTTATCCTTTGCTTTACATTTAATATCCACTAATAAGTGTGTACATACCATGTTTGTCTTTCTGGGTTACCTCATTCAGGATGAATTTTTTTCTAGTTTCATCCATTTGCCTACAAATTTCATGATGACATTGGTTTTTACCACTGTGTAATACTCCATTGCATAAACATACCACATTTTCTTTATTCGTTCTTTGTTTGAGGGGCATCTAGGTTGTTTCCAGGTTCTGGCTATTACAAATAATGCTGCTATGAACATAGTTGAGCAAATGTCCTTGTGGTGTGGTTGAGCATCTTTTGGGTATATGCCCAAGAGTGGTATTGCTGGTTCTTAAGGTAGGTTCATTCCCAGTGTTCTGAGAAACACCCCTACTGATTTCCAGGGTGGCTGTACAAGTTTGCACTCCCACCAACAGTGGAGGAGTGTTCCCCTTTCTCCCCACCCTCTCCAACATAAGCTGTCATCAGTGTTTTTGATCTTAGCCATTCTGACAGGCAGAAGATAGTATCTCAGAGTTGTTTTGATTTGCATTTCCCTGATGGCTAAGGATGTTGAACACTTCCTTAAATGTCTTTTGGCCATTTGAGATTCTTCTGTTGAGATCTACACCCCATTTTTTAATTGGATTATTTGATATTTTGATGTCTAGTTTCTTGAGTTCTTTATATATTTTGGAGATCACATTCCAAAGGTTTTATGTGACAGTCTAAAGGGATGGTAGGCCAGATACAGAGGTAGACAACAAATAGCTATTAAGGGGAGTAAAGATAACCCAGGATAATTTTGGTGCAACATCCTTGGAATTTGGGAGAGGGCGGTAATAGTTTGTTTATGTTTTAATTCTGCAAAAAGACATGCAGGAATTCACCGTGGTTTTGTATATAACAAAGTGAAGAAATCAGCTGTAGTCACCACCCCCAACCATTCAGCTACCAGCAGTTCTGGACCATCAAACAGAAATGGCATTTCCCACCCATTCTCTGCCTCCATGAGAGGCATAAGCTTGTGGGTACAAAGAGCAGGCAGTTTCCAGGGGCCCAGACAGAGCTACTTCGAAGGGATGCTGAGAGCATGGAAAAAGATGTTCAACTTGGATCTGTGCATTTGCTTCTTTGGGGAGATTTAGTTTGTTTTTTAATTTATTTATTTTACATTCTGACCACACTTTTCCCTCTCTCCTCTCCTCCCAATCCCTCCCCCACCTCCTTTCTGCCCCCCTATCCACTCCTCTTCCATTTCTGTTCAGAAAGGGACTTAAAGGGAGTGTTTTCTATGAAAGTAAATGTTTAAAATGAGATGCTACAAACAAGAAACAAAACTAACTTAAATGCAAAAATAAAAACAAGCTCCTAAAACCAGTATTTCAAACCCAGAATTCCAATTCACAGGGAAATCACTGAGAGGTGGGGATTGGGATTTCAAATGTATGGCCATCTAATTCTAGCAATTTGAGGCTCCTTGAATTTCTGGGTAAAGATTTCTGGTGACTTTCAAAGATCAGTAATTCTGAAAAAGAAACAGGAGGGAGGAAGTAAGGAGATGGAGGAGAGGACTAATCCATTTGGAATCTGATGGATAGAAATACAGATAAAGAAAACCCAATTACTTAGAGATTATCAAGAACAGTAGGTTTTTAAATCAGTTGTATTGAATTTGAAGATGATTGATGTTTTAAATTGTTCCTTTACAAGAGTGAATGTTAAACACCTTGAATTAAAACATGAAACATCACTCCTGAATTCTAGGGACTCGCACACCCCTGGGCTCTGAGAGCACTTGCACACACGGTGCACATAAAGTCACACACAGACAGACAGACACACATGCACATAAATAAAAAGAACAAATGCATTTTCAGAGACGGGGTTTCTTTGTGTAGCCTTGGTTGTTTTAGAACTAGCTGTGTAGACCAGGCTGGCCTCAAACTCACAGAGCTCTCTCTGCCTCTGGAGTCCTGGGATAATAAATACATTTTTAATAAAATAAAATATTACTGTATTTATTATCCTTCAAATCCCCATAGCAGCAAGCCCCTAATATCCTTTACTGCCCAGCAATGTGTCCAATTTTTCTTACAGCCAATACCAACATACAGGCTCTCACTTTCCAAGAACATGCACATGATGTACAAGATGGGGATTAGTACAGAGAACGATGTACCTCTCCTCTAGCTCTGCATTCGTGAGAAAAACAAAGAAACAGATGAAAAGTCTTACATTGCATCAGAATAGAATAAAGAGTTACATCCTGAACAAATTATCACTCATTGCAAAGAACCAAAAGATAAGGGAGAAAATGTAGTGAGGGCGGGCCATGGTTGACACTCACCTATAAGGTTCCCGCTTGAGAGGCTGAGAGACTAAGGCCAGAAGATCAATCACAAGCTCAAGGGCCAGCCCAAGCTACTGCCTCAAAGCAGGGGAAGGTATTAGAAGAGAAACTAGACCCCTCAAAATTCCAATGGCAGTGAAGGCTGTTAAGTGACTGAGCTACCACAGGACTGTCTGTGTGAACCTCCACCATCCACTCTCCTAACAGGATTGTGGTCCTCCCTCCCCCAGCTTCCAGAAGAAAGCCCCAGCCGCAAAGCACACAGACTCTTTGGGACTCAGTAACTATCTTGGTGTTCTCTCATCCTTGTCTACACTTCCTTCCTTTCCCTCCCTCCGGCCCCCATGGGTTTATACCCCCACTCTATCCCCAGCCTTTGCCTGGCTCACATTCACTCACTTACTTCAGCTTACCTCCTCTAGGATGGCTGCCCTCATCTGCCCAGGTTGGACTCAATGTCCTTTCCAGTTGTCCCGTGGCTCTTCCTCTATCTGTTAAATGTCAGACTTATCACTTTAGCATTACTGACTTTGCTAGAGCTTTAGGGTTTTGTCTTTGTAGGAGGCCTTGAGCTTCTTAAGGGTCATTAGCCATTTTTGAACATCCATTTCTGCGTGTTTTCCCCATGACTCAATCAGAACAAACAGTTTAAAGGGGGTCAATGGGCCTTTCTCTCTAGGCAGGAAGAGAAAATTCTTACAAAGATTTTTCTGGA